GAAACCCTGCGGCCGCCTTATCGTCCTCATCTTTCTCGTCCTTGCCATCGTCATCGTCATCATCTTCCTCGACAACTCCTCGTCTTCGTCCATCCGATCCACGTCCTCGAGATTCTCTCACCCGACGCAACAACTCCCACCGGACGCCACTCGTCGTTGATGACCGTCGCCACCATGAGGCCTTCGCTCGCCTCCGTCATGCCCGCCGCTCGCCGCTCTTTTTTTGTTTTCGGATCTGAATCAGATCTGCAAGTTGTCCTGTAAAAAAAAAACCTTCGGGTTCCATCTTAACCTTCAGGTTCTTAATCTTTAACCTTCGGATTTCATGTTAACCTTCGGATTCTTGCACTTTAACCTTCGAGTTTAAAATTAAACCTTCGGGTTCTTGGACTTGTTCAGCCTACTGGCTAATTAAAGACTTATTTTCTTGAACTTAGACATACTTTGACTGTTTCCATTTTGAAGTACAACTTGTGGAGGGTATTGTCTTGAACTCTACTCATATGTTTCATGATGGCTGGATCTGAGGAATTCAAGAATTCTGAGTTAACGGTCTAGACGAAAGTTTTTAAGATATTTTATGGTAGAATCACTGACCGAAAACTTGATGGAATTAACTATTTCCAGTAAAAGCGTGTTATTGAAATCTACGTGGCAGACCGAGGAAAAACTGATCATTTGTTGACAGACCCTCCTACTCCGACACCAGAATCTTGGACATTGGACAATAGTGTCCTCTTGCATCAACTTCTTAATACTATGTAGCCTAAAATTCAGGATTTAGTTCTTCATTGTATGACAGTGAAAAAACTTTGATGTTTTTGGCAAGATCTCTATGGGGATAGCAACAATATTAATCGGGCATATGAAGTAATTCAAGAGCTGTTTCGTAAGAAACAGGATAGTAAACCCATGAATGATCATTATGGTGAGTTCAATCGCCTGGCTGAGGAACTTCGTCAAATTTTTTCTATTTCAATAACAAATGCAGAACCAATGGTACAAACTTATGGTACACACCTACTTGGGCACCCTAGATTACATTTACTCCTCTGCTCGATCATAAATCATAGGGAGCTTTGCCATTAGTTCTCTGGCTGAGATCTATCACTTTCTGAAGAACGTTATCCCTGCACAGTCACTCACATCCACTGTGGATTGTTCTGTATTTGCCACTCAGAGTTGGTAGTCTTATGGACAAGGAGGTCATACTGGTGATCCTGATAGAGGTAGATGAAACTTTAATGGGAGAGGAGGTTACCACACTAGTCGTTCCGGAGGTCGAGGTGATTAACGATGTGGCCGTAGAGGTCCATCTCAAGGCAGACATGCTCATAACGATGACTCAGTGAAGACTTGTAACTACTGCCACTAGTCAGGACATCTCAAATATAATTATCCTGAATAAGAAAGGAAGGCCAATGGTGCTTACATGACTGCTCAGGATAACCTCACTTCATTTAATAGTGAAATTCAACCACAGTCACTCTTCAATGACACAGAGCTGCAACATCAATTGTAGTAATTTTAATTATTTCAGCAGTACCAAAATTCACAAACATCGTCTTCCTCTTTATCCGCTAATCTCAAAAATGCAGGTACCCCTTTATCTTTACTTACATCGTCGTAGTCTCATACTTGGATTATAGATACAAGAGTCACTGATCATATGACTGGGAACCAAGGTATCATGTCATCTTTCTCTTTTACATCTAATTTAGTTATATTAGCTGATGGTTCACGTACACCTGTTCAGGGTGTCAGCAACACCAATCCTACCCCAAGTCTTCCCATTTCCTCTGTATTCTATCTTTCTAGTTTTTCCTATAACATTTTATCTATTAGTAAGATTACTAAATTACTAAACTAAACTATGACATTCTTTTTCATACATTGTGTCTTTCAGGACCTAATCACGAGGAAAACGATTGGGACGGGACATGAGCAGAACGACCATTATAAACTGGACTTAGACGCCAAACATTCAGCTTGTATCGAAAACTCATCAGCTCTACAATATCATTTTCAGCTAGGGCATCCCTCTCTCTCTCTAATCTCAAGATTCTAAATCCTCAGCTCAAATTTCTTTCCTCATTAGAGTGTGAGTCGTGTCAACTTGGCAAACACCATCATGTGTCTTATCCTAATCGAGTCAATAAGGTTGTTGCTAAGCCATTTGATCTTGTTCATTATGATGTCTGGGGGTCATGCCCAATAACTTCTAAATTGGAATTTCGATACTTTGTCAGTTTTGTGGATGATCACTCTCGTGTTACTTGGATTTATCTTCTCAAGTCTAGGTCTGAAGTCTTTTCTACTTTTAAACTCTTTCATTCTGAAATAATCAATTTAAGACTTCGATAAAAATTTTCCGTTCTGATAATACAAATGAATATTTGGATAGCAACTTCACTAGTTTCCTTGAACAACAGGGAATTCTTCATCAGTCTTCTTGTATTTACACTCAGCAAAATGAGTTGCTGAATGAAAGAATAGACACCTCCTTGATATTGCTTGAACATTGCTATTCCATCGTCGTGTTCCCAAAGAATTTTAGAGGGAAGCTATCTTAACAGCATGTTACTTGATTAATCGACTGTCCTCTTCTATTCTGCAAGATAAAATTCCTTTCAAAGTTCTATACCCCAACGATGATCTCTTTCCGCTTCCTCCAAAGATTTTTGGCTCTCTATGCTTTGTTCATAATCACAGTCCAAATAAACAAAAGTTTGACTCTCGGTCTATTTAAAGCATTTTTCTTGGCTACTTCCGAAAGCATAAATGTTACAAGTATTTCTGTTTGTCACTCAATCGTCTTGTGTTATTTACTGATGTAACATTCTTTGAAAATAAATCTGATCATTCTAGTTCTCCATCTCCATTATCATTAGATAAGTATGACTATTTAATCCTATAAGAGTCATTAGTTAACGGTGATGGTTCATCCGCTGATAATACTATTTACGCTACTAGCAAATACTCAGCTCGGTTTAACGACCCACTTCAAGTTTGTCATCGTCGCTCTGCTCCTGCTCCTGTGCCAACATCAGCCTCAACACCATGTCCTTCGCCCGAAGAACCTGAACCAGTAAGTACAAATTTACCTCCTTCTGCAGAAGATCTTCCTATTGCACTTCAAAAAGGAACACGAACTTGTACTCAACATCCTATTTCTAACTTTGTCTCCTATGATCGTCTATCCTCTACCTTTCGATCTTTTGTTACTTCACTCGACTCATATTTAGTTCCTAAGAATATGTCAGAAGCCCTGTCTATTTCAGGTTAGAAATGAGGGCCTTGCAGCAGAATGAGACTTGGAATTTGATCCCACTTCTACCAGGAAAGCGACCAAATGGCTGCAAGTGGGTATACACTGTCAAGTTAAATCCTGATGAAACTTTAGCACGTCTGAAAGCTCGATTGGTTGCTAAAGGCTATTCACAGGTGTATGGCTTGAATTACGTAGATACTTTCTCTACAGTGATAAAAATAACATCTGTTCGGATTTTTATTTCGTTAGCAGCTACAAATCACTGGCCACTTTATCAGTTGGACATCAAGAATGTATTCCTTAATGATATTCTAGATGAGAAGGTTTACATGAAATAACCACCAGGTTTTGTTGCTCAGGGGAAGAATGCGAAGGTGTATAGGATGCAGAAATCACTCCATGGTCTGAAGCAGTCTCCGAGAGTCTGGTTTGGACGTTTTACATCAGTTATTCAGGGATTTGGGTTTTGTCGTGCACAGAAAGATCACTCTGTCTTCTGACGATTTCAGAATGAAAAACGAATTCTGCTAGTTGTCTATGTGGATGACATTATAATTATAGGGGACGATACTTCTGATATTAACAACTTGAAAAAGTATTTACAGACACATTTTTAAACCAAAGATCTTGGTTCCCTAAAATACTTTCTAGGCATTAAAATTACAAAATCAACGAAAGGCATTCTTCTATCACAAAGGAAGTATGTCCTGGACATGCTCTCAGAAGTAGGGATGTTATGATGCAGAAGCAGTAATTCTTCAATGAATGTGAACTCAAAACTACTACGAGACTAAGGAAGCTGCTTGAGGATGTTGGACAGTATAGAAGATTGGTGGAGAAATTGAATTATCTGACGGTGACCGGACCTGACATCACATTCACAATCAATGTTGTGAGTCAGTTCTTGTCCGTACCAAGAACTACTCACGTGAATGCAGTAATGAGAATTTTAAGGTACTTGAAAAAGGCTTCAGGACGATGAATTCTCTACTCAGATCAAAGACACACCAGAGTTACATGCTTCTCTGATACAGATTAGGTTGGATATCCTTTTGATAGGAGATCGACTACTGGATATTGTGTCTTTCTTGGAGGGAATCTAGTGTCATGGAGAAGCAAAGTGTTGTGTCTTGATCCAGTGCAGAATCAGAATATAGAGTTATGGCAAATGTGACACTAGAGATGATTTGTATCAGAGACCTATTGACAGAGATTGGTCTCCCTTCAGAATGTCCAATGAGTCTATATGGTGACAATAAAGCAGCAATTCACATTGCTGATAATCTCATGTTTCATGAAAGAACCAAGCACATTGAAGTCGATTGTCATGTAATCCGCAAGAAACTCGAGGATAAAATTATCACGGCAAAACATGTATCGACAGTACATCAGTTGACAAACATTCTTACAAAACCACTTGATCTAACACGGGTTGACTTTATTTGTGACAAGCTGGGCATGCATGATATATATGCTCCAGCTTGAGGGGGAGTGTTAGAAGAGAGTATGAGTATTAATTTAGCATTAATTTAGTCTCACATTGCTTGTGAAACTAATTTGTAACTAATCCATCTCTATAAATAATAAAGTATAGAGTGAGGGGAAGTATTCCCAAGATACTCTTTTCTCTCCAAATCTTAACAATATGGACTTCAAGTAAAGCAAGAAAGATGTGAAAGGTCTCTCAAAAACAGACTCATGATGCAGTTTCTCTTAGAAACACATTTGATATGCCTTATAAGTGATCAGAAACAAATATTCTTTAACAACTTTAAGATATCAAAGGAACCTGAAATGAAGCAACCAAACTGAAAATGACAACGCCATGTTGTTTTGCATCAACTCGCCTGGTTGCAAAGCTTTTACCATCTCGTGCACGATAAACTTGATATATAATTGGGGCTGCAAAATTGAGTTTACATATGGAGAAGATGCATGAGTATTTTAAAAATGCAATTTAACGTCCAAAGAATTCTAATGATCGATATGAACCAAGAAATATATCAGCTTGCCACCCAATGCTATACTACCATTTCAATGTTTGCCTACTTTTTAGTTTAAGATGCAAAAGGGCAACTATTTTGAAGAAAACTTGTTGTTTTATGCCACACATTTTTGTGTCCAGTTGCTTGCATATAGATATATTATATTGAATATGGTAAATTACACGTAAACCTCCTCATCTATACTTTCAGTTGCACTAAACTTCCCTCAACTCATTATTAGCGCTTAGCAACCCTTCAATTCATGAGGAAGAGGGGTGATACATGCAAGTTATCTTTCTAAAATTGGCACTTACCGCTGGG